CACGTTAACAAAGCACGTGTTTTTGTTTATCTCTCCTTAAATACTGTAATAGATTATAAAGATACGTGATCTTACTAAAAAAATTCAAGAAAATTGAAATAACATAGCTGACATCGAAATTCCAAAAATCAACTACGGCTATAGTCGACAAGGAGGTCAATCAGAGTATCTAAAAATATATGGCTGTTCTACCTGAAAGAGAAATAGTTGCATATGACGACTCAAAATTAGGACACTCTGTATAGTTGAACATAATTTTAGTGTAAGCTACTCAAAGAACTGCATAGTTTTAATCTTTGACTTTTTAATCTCTAGTAATTAATTGAGCGCTCTTAGTGTGACTCATATACAGGGTCTCTTTTATTTGATACAACCCCTATAACTTTTTTATAACTTTTTTATTATTAAAGATAAACTTGTAGTTCTTTGAGCAAATTTGTATAATTTTAAAAGATCTATGTGATGGCAACCTGTCATTTTTATTAATACTTTCGGTAGAACCAGAAATGACATCAACTTTATTTTTTTTTTATGGAACACTATATATATTTTTTTATAAATGGAAAGCAACCAATATTCTAAAATTAATATTTAAAAAGTTATTCAATAAAATACACGAAAAATTCATATTTAATATTTATTGATGACAATCTAGTAGCTTGAAAAATTGACACTAATTTCATTTATTCACTGAAGTGATCTGTTAAAATGATACAAATTTGCTCAAAGAACTATGTATTTATATTTAAAAATAAAAAAAATTACAGAGGTTCTATCAAATAAAAGAAACACGTGGTATACATAAAATTAAAGGCTTATTTCCCTAAGAAATATTCCTTTTGTATTTTAAAATTTTTATCACTGTATGTTTTAAGAGTACAGTTTTTTTCCTTAAGGTAATCTAAATAATAAAATCAGCCTTCATAAAACAAGAATATATCATTAGAAAATATTCCTTTTTCAACAATATACTTCCGTGTGCATTAATAATGTTGGAACTGTGTTAAAATAATGAAGCATTAAATTTAAAAACATCATATTTTTGTTTAAATTAAGGTTTTATTAATTTATTTGATTAACGATTAGCTCCTGTTTTTAGAAACAAATGAAACAGTGAAATAAATATCTGCAAAAAATTCTATCCAAGAAAATTATAAGTTGGATCGCTGCTCCTCAAGTTCTTTTTCTTTAAATAGACCACTTGATTTTTTAAGTATTTGAAAAAATTCAGTTGCATTAGAGAAAAATATTCTGTTTCCATGTATGGACATTTTCTTAACAAAACCTATAAGTAAATAAAAACCAAAAATAAAACTTAATATATTCTCGTACGTGGATACAGCTTACTTTTTAATGGAACATCCTGTATATTTTTACATATTCTCATTGGCCTCTTCGTCGATTTTAAAGCTTTAGTTTGTTGTCGAAACTTCGATGCGACGCTGCCACGTTATTCCAAATTTCTTGAAATTGTAGTAATGCTAGCACCTGCTAAGATAATACTGATTTTGGGAATTGACATACTGTCTAAGAAAAAAGAGGGTGGGTGGGCGGGGATACTACTGGCTAATATAAGACTAATTTTAGAAAATGAGATACTCTCTAAGAAAAGAGAGAGAGGGTGTGCGGGCCTAGTACCTTCTAAGATAAAACTGATTTTGGCAAATGATCTAGTCTCTAAGAAAAGAGAGGGTGGCTAATTTATGGACATGTTGAAAAATGGTCGAAAATATCAAGAGTGCCAAAATCAGTCTTATCTTATCAAATACTAGCCCGCCCCACCCACCCACCCTCTATTTTCTTGGAAGATATGTCATTTGCCAAAAAAATGTCAATGGAGTAATTTTTAAAATCTGCATTACAATTTTTTGTGGAAAGATACACATACCTTTGTTGTCGTGTGAATTAAACTGAGGGCTTTCAAAAAAAGGTTTTCTGAAATTTTTCACTTTTTTAACAGATACACCCACAAATTAAAAGAAAAAAACAAACAATGGAGTAAGGCGCGGTAATGAAATACAGATTGTTCCATTTGAAAGAATTTAAATATCGATATTTGAAAATTGTAATGCTTTACACTGTTTACAAGCACCCTGTCTAAGAAAATTTTATTTAATTGTTACAACAACAAAGCACATATTTTTGTTTATCTCTCCTTAAATACTGTAACAGATTATAAACATACGTGATTTTACTAAAAAAATTCAACAAAATTGAAATAACATAGCGTCACATCGGAATTTCAAAAATAAACTACGCCTATAAAGTCCACAAGGAGGTATATCAGAGTATCTAAAAATACATCGGTGTTCCACTTGAAAGAGAAATAGTTGCATATGACGACTCAAAATTAGAACACTCTGTATAATTAACCATAATTTTAATGTAAGCTACTCAAAGAACTACATAATTTTAGTCTTTAACTTTTTTTCTATCTCTAGTAAGTAACTGAGCGCTCTTACCATGAGTCATATAAATATGCATAAAATGAAAGGCTTATTTCACTAAGAAATATTCCTTTTGTATTTTAAAATTTTTGTTACTGCATTTTTTAAAAGCACAGTTTTTTTACTTAAGGTAATCTAAATAATAAAAGCAGCCTTCATAAAACAAGAATATATCATTAGAAAATATTCCTTTTTCATCAGTATGCTTCGGTGTGCACTGTGAAACTGTGTTAAAATAATGGAGCATTAACTTAAAAAAGTCATTTTTTGTTTAAATTAAGGATTTAATATATTCTGTTTCCATAAACAATAAATCTTATGTTGAAATAAAGAAAGGAAATTGTATGGGAAAAATATTTGGATTTTTAATCGCTACTAGTGTGCTTTATGTAAATTTTTGTAAACAAAAGACTAAGTATGGACATATTCTTAACAAAACCTATAAGTAAATAAAAACCAAAAATAAAACTTAATATATTCTCCTAACTTGGATACACCTTACTGTAAGTTTTCTTTCTACTATACTGAGAAAACAACATATTTTTTTCAATCAATAAAAACAAACTAGCCTATTGAAGTTTAAGTGGATGTAATTTCCGGTGAAACTGGCAGTATTTGATTAGATTTGTGATGTTTAGAATATGTTATAATTCGGTTTTGAAGCATGTAATTTTTAATTCAAATGAAACACTATTACATAATCTTGAAAGTATTGTTAATACTTGCTGGAATATATTTCTAAAAAAGAATATTTTCCAACGGATCACTGTCGTATATTTCTGCATAAACACATAATGCATATGAATTCCTTTGTTTACCATCTGGATAAGAGAATATTTTATAATGATATATTCTTGGGAATTTTACGACAATCTGCCTAATCATAGAACTAGGCAAGAATGTAATATTTTTAAAATATTCTCAAAATTAAAATAATGAGATTCATATTGGATGTCAGTATTTAAATATTATGTAGATGCGATTTTACAATGTTAAAGGAACAAAATACATATTTCTATAATTTAAAATTCATACTTAGATTTTTTTCTAAAGCAAACTACTTTGTTAAAAAAGATATTGAAAAAAATTGTTCTAAGGAAAAGTCCTGAACGTGTAAACCAGAAGAATAATTTCTTTGGCAAATTTTCATTCTGTGTTAATGAAATAAATTTCGGCAAATAAATAATAATAATAAATTCTGCATTCATAAATATCGGGAGTTCAACTGAAAAACTCACGTTGGCTTTGATTTTTGTAAACATTCTGAAGTATGTCCACAATAACCTCACTTGTTGGTATAATTTGCAAGTATCGTGTTTTAATTATATTCACGGAAAATATTCCAAAGATAAGTAATAATCACGAAAAACAAAATGCGAGAATATATAATTGATAAAATAATTCTCAATGCCTAATTTTCTTTGTAAATCATTTACTATTTAAAGAATGTAAGCTGGAATATATTCTGAACATAAAAACGTGTGTTAGAAATTCTTAATCTATAAAAGGAATGTGGATATTTAATCATGACTGTACTTTAACTAAAATATAAACATTAAAAATATATCTGGCGCTTCGTAAATCTGTTTATAACTTTAAAGAAAAAAAATGTAACGTGCCATATCGATACTTTTTCCATTCAAAAAATTCCACGCTCGGTTAATCACTTATCAGCAAGTACCTTGCACATAAATCCGCGCCTTCATTAAAAAGTCGCGCCACTCCATCGTGCCCCACCCTCCCATATTCATAATCCATCGCAATAAAATCCGTTTATCGACTCTGCATAGCTATTAAAATGAAATTTGGCACCGGTATCGTATACGATAAAATCAATGATCCTAAGATAATTAGAGCGCTTTTTATGAGTTTCGCTGCAAGCAACATTAACTTGACTTTTTCTGATCAATCCCAAGCAAGTAATTTATTTTAATCGAATGTTTCTCCGGACGACGGTAGCCGCTCGAAACAAAAGAATATTTATTGCCTTGTACCATTCTTTAAAGCACATTGTTGCATTGTTTTCTCGCTCAAACATCCCGGACTCTTTACGAGGTCCCGTTATAGTCGGTTTCGTTTTTTGGACAATTTATGACAAAAAAGCCATAACCCGCAACACTTGCGATCTCCGCTTGGTGGCACGACTGGCCAAAACCGCGAAAATCGTTTTCGAGATCGGACGAACGCAAGCACACACGCACACACATCCCGATTAAATATGCTAATCCGGCAGGACGTTGACAAGAACCAAGAAAGCAATCGATCGATAAATGAAATATTTAAATTCAATAAATGTCCATTGTTTCCAGCAGATTTGTTATTACGCATGCAGATGCCGTGTTCGAAAAATTACATTAAAATTTCAAATTAAGCCAATGACAAGGCCCAAGAAAAAATAAAGTTGATGTCACTTGACGCAATCGGGTATCAATTGGGTCGAAATGTTGCTTATTCGCGCAATGCTTGTGCCAAATGGCGGATTAATGTCTCAATAAATAACCGATTTTATTAAGGGAGCGCTCGACAAAACAAACATATATATTTGGAACTCACCATTCCGTTGCACAAGGACACGGAAACGGCCGAATCCACGTCGTCTTTTATTTTTCCGGTGTAGTAGCAGCCGTAGATGCTGCTGTCTTGCTTCATGCGATGAGTGAAGTTGTCCCATACGTGGGTTATCTGGAAAAAAATACAAATTGTATGATCCCGTCGAAACATTGAAAAGGAAGTGAAATGAATGGTAACTGAAATTAAGTATTTTATTATTTAAGTAGATATTAATTTTTAACACAATTCTAAATCATCAACACTACTGTCATCATCTTCACTGTCACTATCATCTGAAACGGAATTAACATTGATAAAGACTCGATTTGTTTCACAATTGTCGAGAATCTTTTCCGTTTGCCATGCGGAATCTAAAATTTTTACTTCCCGAGCGTAAGCAAAGGAACTATTGTAATCGAGTCCGTCAGCCGACTCTCTACTTTTACATTTTCTCGACCTTTCATGAACCCTAGAAGACGAAGAAATAGGTCTCCCGTTTCCATCTGTCTGTCCGTCTGTCCGTCTGTCTGCCGTCCCGGATTTTTATTAGACAGACAATCTCCGAAAGTACTGGGCCGATTGTTGTCAAATTTTGTATTTATACTAAGAATATCATGTAGATGGTAAAACGCTAACCAAAGTTTGTCTAATGATCCCCACCACTAATGTGATGACGTCACTTCAAAATTGTACATAGTAAATGGGTTTTAAATTGTATCAAATAACATAGTCTTACACATGTAGTCTATGACTCCGAATTGAAATTTTACCCGAAACGTCCAGATGTTTGGAAAAAAAATCAAAATTAGGAAACAACATTTTAACATTTAATTTGGAATCTGCAAAACCGAATGCTTTGAAATCTTGCAGGTGGTTTACAGTTATGATAAGCATGATAAATTTTTATTCAAAATATATTTACTTGTCCCCTCCAAAAAAATGATGACGTCACCTCAAAAGTTTGCCGAATAGATCCTATCTAACATGTAGAAAATCTGATGAGTCTGTACTTGTAATGTATCATTTCATTCATATTTTTTGGATTTGCATATGCAAGGTGACTCAAAAAAATTTATGAATGCGTGAATATATTTTATTTATTTAATCAGGAACTACAAAACTGAATGCTTTGAAATCTTGGAGATGTTTTAAAGTTGCCATAGGTATGGGAAATTTTTGATCAAAATATATTTGCTCATCCCCCCCTAAAAAATTGATCACGCCACCCCAAAATTTTTCCGAAAAAATGTTATCTTAAATGTGCATTGTACAAAGTATGATGAGTCTACAATTGTGATTTATCACTGCAAATATATTTTTTAGATTTGCTTATACGGTGTGTGTGAAAAAAAATAATGACTGAGTCAATTTATTTTATTGATTAAATCAAGAATTGCAAAACTGAATACTTTGAAATCTTGACGTTTTGAAGTTATTGTAAGCATGGTAACTTTTTAATGAAAATGTATCTGTTTATCAACCCCAAAAAATTGATTACGGCATCTTAAAATTTTGCAGAATAAATTCTTTCGCAAATGTGCAAAATATGAACAGACTTTTAATCATTGCATTCATATTTTTTAGATTTGCTATACAGGTGACTCAAAAAAATTAATGAATCGGTCAATTTATTATTGATCAAATTAAGAACGAGCCACCCCATTTTCTGGAGAATGTGAAAATACGCTCGTCTTTATAAAAATAAAATAATGATAAGGTAAGAATTAAATAACAATAACATTCAGAATACTTTGTTCAATGGAGGCTTATTAATAATTTTAGTCATCTATTTTGGGGCGATAAACTCATTCAAATCAAACAAATGTCTACGTGACATTCTTCCGATGTAATGTATTCCCGTTGATAATGTGATGTAAATACATTTTTTGCATTCATAACCTTTTTTGATGACCTTGGCGGATACAACAGCATGTGGGACGTCGAACATCACCCACAGATGCGTTTTGCTATGCAAATTTGTGTACGCCTCTGATAAAAAGTACACATAGTAAACGACGCATAAAATTTTCTAAGGGCGTCAGAAAAAGTAACTTTTTCTGCCGCCTTTGTTTCTGCTATCAATAAATCAAGATTACCACGCGTACCTGGTAAATGCTGACAGTTACGTTAATTAGACGCGTGAAGAAATGTATTTGAAACGTTTATTACGGTAAATATAGAGCCAATATACTTTTTAATCCATTTATTACTACTATTCAAAAGTGAGGTTATGTTGTCAAATTATTTTCCACGGCTAGCAACGCGTTGAATTGAAATTGCAGCGGGTTTCCTTGGATTACCTGAATGCAGAATCATTATTTTCCGTTAGAAATGTGGATATGTTCTAAGATAAATCCTTATTTCTTTATATTTTTATTTGAATTTTGTAAAGGTAAAAAAATACGCCGAATGGTTGAATTGATTGCAAACAGTGTTCATGGTGTGTAGTTCCTGATTGTCGGGTTGTGTGGTGGTATGATGTACTTAATTGAGACCTTTGAAGAAAAAATTGCATGTTTTATTCGGAGAAAAATGACTTTTCGTGATGAGTTTTTACTTACGATTTATCATTGTATTCATATTTTTTAGATTTGCGTAAACAGCTGACACAAAAAAAAATTAATGAATGAGTCAGTTTAACGGTCTACTCCATTTTCTCAGAACATTTTGGGAATACAATACTGTTATTTTTATTATTATACTGCACCAATCCAGGTTGATATACGTGTCTTTGCAAAAATGTTGATGACGTCATCACAAAATTCTATAAAGAAAAAACTCAACTTGAAAATGCTGGATATTTTTACTGTATTTCAGGGGCGAGGGAAGTTCTGTCAAAACAAATTTCGACCATTTTTTTATTATTGCTACAGCTTCAAAACTTCACTATGTACTATAGCTAAGTCAAGAGGGACAATATGTTTTAAGAGTAGACTCTGAGCTGATACAGACTTTTCTTTCAATTTCTGGATACTTGCTGTCCCTTGAATTCCAATGTACAGGGTTTTTAATAATGATTTGAAATGCGCAGTTGGCCATGGATTTCAAAAATCCCGCTTCGCTGAAATTCTGGCTCATTACGACAGTTCTCACTTGTCATTAATGTCATGTGTAACTAGTCATTTAAAGTCACCGTTTTTGTTATTTCAACGTTTTTCAAGTGTGAATTACAGTAATTCTCGTTGATACCGTAATCTGATAATTTAAGAAACATCGTTAGAGGCTCACATTAGAGATATAATCAACAGATCTATTCGAACTAGCAGTGTCGACAAAGGGAAATCTCGTAGAACACCTTCAGTATCTGAGGAAGTTGCTGATGATTTGAGACGACTTGAACAGTATCCGCCAACATCTTTGACAAGATTTCCTCAGCAGTCAGGAATTCCTGTTCCAACATGAACTTGGACAATGGGTCCAAAGTATTGACGAAAGGATATTACAGAACATTTTTGAAACTAAAAAAAGGGTGAACATGTGCCTTGAACAAAATGTTGAATGTTTAACCGCAATAAATTTGTTTCTTTTTATTGTAATGATTTAGTTTTATTTTTTAATTAGATATGCAGCGTTTAGGCAACGAATGATACGGATGCGTATGGCAAATGTCGTGAGTTCTTGGACATTTAGTAAAGTCCATATAAAATGAGAGGCGGCACCTACTTCGACACTATATTCATTTATAGAAATACTGTATTTCCCAAGAGGATATCCCATTTTCATTTGTCGAATATTGACAAGATATAAAGCCGAAAGTTTCAGTCGCTTAATGGGTTGTTGGCTTTACAATGAATCATGTTTTAGTTTTCATGACTTGTGGTATGTGTAAATCAGAGAATAAGTACAAAAAATTTTGAAACCCATCAGTTCTCGTTATCCTGAGAATCGCAATATTAGTCTTAGTAGTCTACTAATCTGCGTCTTCCTTTCACAGACTCTTTTGGTAATTTGACATGATTAATAGACAAGAGATATTTAAAAAAAAAATGTACTCTAGCACCGTGATTTTTGTGATTAGCGTTTATGGTTTTTTTAATGCTAGGGCTTACTGAAACAAATTAGTTATACCTTATTTACCCTCCAGTAGCATCTATAAGGGTTTATTTTCATCCTACAAGTTTGACAATACAAAATAGAAGAACTGTCAATTTTTTGTACGTACCTTTTTATAACACCCTGTATTTAAGGTTTTGCCCATGAAGTTTTTTAATATTTATAATTTTTTCATATTCAACATCTATAGTGGTGTCCAGTTTTTTTTTTCCGTTAACTAATTCCATACAGTCCGAGAAAGCTTTGGCATGTTTGACTTTTCTTTCATATTTAGCTAAAGAGCTAGAATAGTATATTATTAGCCAAGGTTGCAGAGCCAATCATTCTAGACCGAGCGCAAATTAGAACCCGAGACGCGCAGCGTCGAGGGCTCTGAAGCGCGAGGTCTAGAAGTGGCTTTGCAACCGTGGTTAATATACTATTTTTTTCACTAGTAGAAACCATAAGACAATAAACTGAAAAAATAAACGTTCAATTTCTTGACGCAATATGATTTTATTTTGAATTCTAATCAAACTTAATCTAAATCTTCAACACAAAAAAAAACGTTTATACTTGTCGCTGAGTTAATCATTTTATCTTCTACCGTCTACCAACTACCATGCGTATACTCAAGTAATGTTTGTAGCACACATTTGTTCATTTTTTAAGAAATAATCACATCAAACATTGCGTACATAACCTCAATTTTTCTTTTTGAACCGGTGGTCGCAAAAGTTGAATTTGCTACCACTAAGTGAGTCGACATTTGCATGCGTCATGGCTGCTAGTGAAAAAACACTTTTCCAATCGTTGAAATCTCTTAGAAACTTATTATATAGTATATATCAAGAACAATCTTCAACAGAAACAGTATAGGTCATTTATTGTCTGAATTTAAAGTAATCAAGCCGACGACTTTTAATTTTTTTCTCAGTTAAATAATACTTTGCAAAAATGTGTTTTTGTAGACCTGCGTCCAGAGTTGTCACCATGTTATAATTCACTGTATACTTCATAAGAAATTGGCCCTTTGTCAACTAATATCCGTTGTGTCCCTAGGCTTCGGATCTTAGGTTTTTTGCCTTTTTTGCCTATTT